CTATTCCTGTGTCCTTGTGGATGTAGGTGACTTCCTTCAGTTGGCATTTTCCTTCTAGTACATTTTGTAGGGCTGGGTTTGTGGATAGGTATTGCTTAAGCTTGGTTTTATCATGGAATATCTTGTTTTCTCTATCTATGGTTATTGAAAGCTTTGCTGAGTAAAGTAGTCTGAGCTGTCATCTGTGGTCCCTTAGTGTCTACATGTCATGTGACCAGAACTTTCTGGCTTTCATTGTTTCTGCTGAGAAGTCAGGTTTAATTCTGATAGGTCTGCCTTTACATGTTTCCTAGTTTTTGTTCTTTACAGCTCTTAATAATCTTTCTTTATTCTTTTTGTTTATTGTTTTATTATTATGTGGCAAGGGAACTTTTTTTGGTCCAGTCCATTTGGTGTTAGTGTCTTGTATTTTCCTAGGTGTGTCCTTCTTTAGGTTGGGAAAGTTTTCTTCTATGATTTTGTTGAATATATTTTCTGTGCCTTTGAGTTGGACTTCTTCTTCTATCCCTATTATTCTTAGGTTCAGTCTTTTCATGGTATCCCAGATTTCTTGGATGTTTTATGTTAAGGATTTGTTGTTTAAATTTTTCTTTGACTGATAAATCTATTTCCTGTAGTATATCTTCAACACCTGAAGTTCTCTCTTCCATCTCTTGTATTCTGCTGATATGCTTGCATTTTTGTTCCTGATCATTTACCAAGATTTTCCATTTCCAGAATTCCCTTGGTTTGTGTTTTCTTTATTGCCTCTATTTCAGATTACAAGTCTTGAAGTTTCTTTCACTTGCTTAATTGCTTTTTCTTGGTTTTCTTTAAGGGGTATGTTGATATCTTCCAATTTTTTGGTTGTCTTTTCCTCCAGTTTTTAAAGGGAATTTTTCATTTCCTCTTTAAGGATCTCAGTTATCCTCATAAAGTTATTTTAGGTCCTTTTCTTCTATTTTGTCTGTGTTGGGATGTTCTAGGGGTGCTGTATTGCTCTTTATATTCTTGACTGTGTTCTTCCCTTGTTGTGTACACATCTCTTACTCTAATCAGTATAGATGAGGCTTGTGTTTAAGGGTTCTCTCTTTCTCCAATTGGTATAAGTTGGGGACTGTGGCTCCTTTGATCATTCCTTCAGGCACAAGCAGAGCAGAGCCTCTGGTGAACATTCCTCCTGGTAGAAGTGGGCCCAGGGCTCAGGTGTTTGCTCCTTGAGGTGCAGGTGGGTCTACAGCTCTGATGGACACTCCTTCCATTGGAGGTGTAGGTGTAGCTGAAGGTGCAGTGGTTAATGTAGCAGAAATGACAGTGGATGCTGGCTGGGATACAGGTGATCTTTTCCAGATGAACTTCTTGTGATAGTTTCTGGAAGCTACTGCTGGAAACTGATGCTGCCATCTCACCAGGTGGTAGGTCCTTGCTCCTGGGCCTGAGGCTCAGGCCTCCCTCTGACACTGCTTCCTGGCTGGGGTTTGGGCCTCCCACTGACTCTGCTCAGGGCCTGAAGCTTGAGCTTCCCTTTGAAGCTGGTTCTGGGCTGATGGTTCAGACCTGGAATTTCTTACTTTTATCTTCCAGTTCTTCGTAATTTATATTCAGCTGTTTTCCTGTGTTTTCTCAAAGGTCATTGATCCTTCTTGAAAACCAGTTTTTGGAATTATTTATCAATTATTTTATTGATATTAATATACTTTGAAGCAGTTAATAGAGTTATGGACTTTTGGTAGAATCACGTTGCTTGTCATTTTTTCATATTTCTTGTGCTTCTATGTTGGAAGTTGCATATTCATTAATATGTCTTTAACTTTCAAGCATGAGTCTTCTTCTGGCATGACCTTCTCTTGAGCATCTCTTTTTACTGATGTAGTATTGAGCTCAATTGTGTGTGTGTGTGTGTGTGTGTGTGTGTGTGTGTGTGCGCGTGCGTGCGCGCACCTGCCTGTGTGCATATACCAGGGTCAATGTAGTTTAAGATTGTGTTGAATTTGCTATATAGATGAGGCTGGCTTAATCTTCCTGTCTTTATCTGCTGGAATTATGGGTATGTGCTACCATTCTCAGCTGGGTTGAGCTTAATTCTAATTGGATCATGTATTTGTAGTTTTCCTGTGACTTCTGAGGCATATTTGATGGGTTCTGATTGTATGTGTAGTTTTGGAACCTTAGTTATCTGCTTTATTTGTAGGGTTCAGGAAAGTGTGGTCTGTCTGATAGCTATTTTATAAACAAATATGAGGTTTTCGTATTACTCCCTTAGACTTGTTATCACTGTTTAATTTGAAGAACAGTGTTAGTGACCTCTGCTAGTATCTTTTGCTGCTGGAGGAATTGCACTAGCTGTGTAATTTTTCCCTCTGTTTTCTCTGTTTTTTTTTAAATAGAGGTAAATATCCAGTATTTTTTCCCTTACAGTATGTACCTCCTTGGAGAGGCATGTCAGCTGTAGGCTTTTGTCTCTCATTTCTTTAAGTATCTACCTAAATTTTAGCAAATTAAGTTGTAAACAGTATTAGTGCAGTTCTGTCTATTGGAATATGTACATCTCAACATCATAGCACCAACTTTTTATGTTAAATATGTTAAGCTTGATCTTTAGAACCATTTTGGAAAGTAATAACCAAAGTAATTTGAATAATTTAAAAGCAAATCAGTTCTAGAAATAGTAAAAACAAAACAAAATGACCCCCCAACAAAAAAGAAATTCGACAAAGCTATCAAAATAACATCTATAATACTAATGACCCTAGAAAAGAAATTAGAAGGGAAAACACTTTAAAATACTTATATTAATGAAAATATAGTTAAATATAAGAAGAGAAAAAGGATGAAAACAAGAAAGGATAGAATAAATACTGAAGTTTAGTAAATTTTATATATCTATATAGATATAGATAGATAGATAGATAGATAGATAGATAGATGGATAGATGGATAGATAGAGATTTGCAAATATAGTGACAGGAAGCAAAGCAAATCTAAAGCAATCAAATACAGATAAAGAAAAGAAAAAATATCAAAACTAGCCAGAGGTTCTTATTTTCCAAGGAAATGGGGTTATTGTCTCATTTACTTCTAATTATTATTTTTTCAAATTACCAAGTATGGGGCAGTAGGAGGAAAGTATAATGTTTCTTCTCAGAACCAAGCAAACTTATTTGCCAGAACTGTGGTGCCTCTGCTTCAAGGGAGCTGCAAACTTCTATGAAATAGACTTTAAGTCTCTGTAGTAGAGGAGGAGAGTGCAGCACAAGGGATTGTATTTAGAGTTTGGTAAGGTTGTCAACAATGTCTGCCACTGCCTTTGATAAGATTGCTGTGAGGATTCAATGAAATAATCTAAAATGTAAGCAACCTAAACTTAAATAATAAAATAGTTATTTTAAATAAATACTTTGATTCAAAATGTAAAGAAGTTAGTAATTTAGGTAAATACTTTATTCCTCTTCTATCAGGTAGTCTTAAAAACTAGAGTGGGAAGCTGGGCGGTGTTGGCCCATGCCTTTAATCCCAGCACTTGGGAGGCAGAGGCAGGTGGATCTTTGTGAGTTCGAGGCCGGGCTGGACCGACAGCCTCCAAAACAATACAGAGAAACCCTGTCTAGTAAAACCAAAATAAATAAATAAATAAATAAAACTAGAGTGGGTCTTTGACTTAATTCATTGATGTATAAGTCTCATAAAATCTGAGATTAGTTATTTATGTCAATTAGCTAATTTTATTGCCTATTTCTATATATCAATACAAATATAGTTAGGCATAAATAATACATCATTTCCAACCAGCTCTTGTTTTATCTAAGAGCTAAAAGGACTATTTTCAAATCTGGCTAATATTTGTGGTCACATATCCTAACCTGCATTGGGTTGAGTTTCTGTTTATAGATGGGATATTCTTTGGGGTGGGTTCTAATAAAAGCCCATTTGTCCAGAACAATAACCCCCCTTTATGCCATGTTCTGTCCTGTACTTTCTGGTAGGTGCTTTTGGCCACTGCTTAAGAGAATTCTTTCTGATTGGTATACTTACTGTGGGCATTTTTACCCCATTTGAAACCATTAGCATTAACAAAGCTCTTTTCAGTTTTTTCCCATAAAGTCTTTTGATTAGCTATGAAAAGCTTGTAAGTTTCTAGAATTGCTACTCAGATTGCTTTGGACAGTATCATTTGTTCCTATTAGAATCAGACAAATTATATGTTATGTGACAAAAATAAATAAGTAACTTTCATACATTATGGTATATGGAATGTGTTTCCTAGTGGTTGGGAAGCATTCTATATGAATGTTTCTTTTTGAGGAAGAATGGTTCCTGGAGGGCATATAATAGTACAAAACCACCCTGAGGTACAAAAGGCAACCTGACATTAATGAAAAACTAGCAGGGGAGAGGCTTTAGTGACTGGAGCTCTCTGTCTTACTTCAGAGGCTCACAAAGTGATTGACAAAATGATTTCCTGGCCAGATTGAAGCTATGTTCCCAGTAACACATGAAAAATGGCAGGAGAGTCCCTGATCAGGTAACCCTCAGAATGGCAGTTCTAACTTATGCTGAATGGTCTGGCTAGAAAGTGTATTGAAAATAAGCCAAATATTTAGAATATTTATTCCTGGTCCTAAGGCATAAAGTAGAGGTAGTTAATTTTATAGTTCTTATTTTCAAAGTTGTTTTATTCTTCCTTCAGGGGAATGGCAGATGATGTTTAGAAAAGGCCCCAAAAGGTAAATAAACCATGGAGGTGAGCTAACAAGGAAAATGTTTGATTGGAGTCTTTAGTTAGGCCAGAGAGGGAGGGCTAAGTAACAGAAATTGTCAAAGAACTGGAAAAAAGGAGAGAAACTTAAAGGATTTGGTGTGGAGCTAAAGAAATCCTCAGGGTTATTACTTCTCCATCTTTTTAGTTTGATTTTTAAAAAGCTGGTAATTTATAAATTCTGCCACATTGGGTTAAAAAAACCTTTTATGTGAATATACTTTTTTGTTTTGTTTTTACTGCCTGTCCCTTTTCTGTTTTATAGACATTGTCCGGAGTGATGTTGCCTTGGATAAGCAGAAAGGCTGCAAGATTGCCCAGCACCCTGACATTATGCTGGAGCTCCAGAGAGAGAAAGCAGCTCAGATGCATCTGGTTCTTCTGAAGGAGCAGTTCTCCAATACTTACAGTAACCTCATATTAACAGGTAACAGAACCTTAGAGCATCATTATTATTGATGACCTCTGTCAGGTAGCAAGTTAATGCCTGGGAGATACTAGTGTGACATCCAGATGAGTCCACATCTGCCTGTTTTTATCCACTCAACTAGGCTTTAATTGCAATGACTCCTCTCTTTCTATAACAAATATTTCTTGAAGTCTGCAATGGGTTTGCTTCAAAGTTATGGATGATTCTCTGTTTTTTCCAAATGACAGAACCAATGGAAGATTAATGAAGTCTTATGAAAATATACAGCTTTCTAAATATGTGCCAATAGGTTTGAGAGGATTACTAAGTTTGGAAACATTTTAAGAAGTAGCTATTTTCTTCTTTCTGCTTATGCCCTTTCTATGAACTCGGTAAATACAAAACCAAAGTATAAAAAAGATAATGATTTTCAGGCAGAACTGAGAATAATATTCTATACCTGATAGTGTTTGGAAGTATCTGGGGGATTTGATTTTCTTCCTAAGCATAAAGAGATTTCAGGCTGCACTGTACTTACCCACATCCTTGGTTCTAGAATTAAATATTAGTTAGAGCTGCAAAGGAAAACAGCATTTTGCAGAACTGCCTAGAAACTTTTTTTGTTAAAGAATATGCATGGTACATATTTTGTTAGGCTTTGTAAAGATTTTCACAAGAACTCTAACATGAGAGTCCTTTAGGGTAAGATGAACTAAGAATGGTGTCAGTTGTCTTCACTTTCTCCGGAGCATCTAAGGTAGACTTGATGAGCGATTTGAATGAACTTTTAACAAGTCAAAACTGTGTGGTTTCTTTTGTTTATGAATGGCTAAGAATGAAAAAAGTTGGAGTATCTGACAGTATGAACATCTTATATTTATTTTTGTGAACTCTAAGTTAGGAAAATTTTAACTTTTTTTACAGGCTTCCTGGCATTTCACCAGGAATTGCTGAGTGGCAACCAAATTGTTTTGCTTTTGAAAAAGCACAAGACCCTTCCAACTTTTCATCTTGTACCTGGTGGAAAACTCAGCAGCATGAGATGAAAGCCAGATTTAAATGTGGCTTTGGTGAGCAGAGACGAGGGTTATGGATTCCATAAGTATAGGCTGTGTTTGCTCTTTGATAGCTCATTAAGGAGGGAAAACTTAAAAATGATTTATGGCCAATGTATGTATTTCCCTAAATTGGTTAGTAAGCCTGAGTTTAAGTTTAGATGTTTGAAAAGAACATAGATTTTTTTCCCTTCAGGTTTCTTTAGCGTATTCCAAAATGTGTGTGTGTGTGTGTGTGTGTGTGTGTGTGTGTGTCTTTTTTCAATTTAGTGATTAAAGATGAAATATTTTATTTCCCCTTATTCTAATAATTTCAAAATTGTATCAGTGGGGTCATAACCTGTGTTCTTTATTATGGCATACAAAAGACTTTAGGGTAATTCTAGCCCTAAACTGTGGATCCAAAGTATTGCTCAAAGGCATATTATCTTTGAAAACACTAGTGTTCTATTGAGTTCAATGGAATCTTTCTAATTCTCAGTAACATAATCCCTTTGGATGTTTATTCACAGTTCAAACTGTTGGAATCAACATTGTCAACTTTTACCCTGACAACTTGCTTACTTTCCACTAAACAAACTTACCCTAGAGAAGAGCCTCTTTCCTGCTCTCACTTCTCTCAAGCTGCTTCAAAGCGTCCTCAGGCATTCTCCCCATTTTTCACTCATATGCCTTTGTACAGAGGTGGTACCTTGCAGCAGACAGAGCATTTAGTGTACCCTCGTTTGTTTACACCAAAGTTCAAAAGGTTTCAGTTCCAGGTGTTGGGGAGAGATGGAGTCATTTCGGTTTAGTACCAATGGTAAAACTATTTTAATGTCCTTTAACTAAGTCTTTGATTTTACACAGTGTGGTTTTCTAATTGTTATGAAGTTTAATCCTTGATTTCTTATATAAATCTTGAGAACATGGTCTCCAGACAGCTAAACATAATATTTAAACATAACTAAACTAAGTTTTGTAAATATTTCCCTTTTCAGTGATGAATGTCCATTGGTAAGGAGGGTGAAGTTGAAGGGGCAGAGACCACTCAGATGAATTGACTTTCTTTACCAACATATTCAGAACACCTACTTGAGGGTTTCTACTTGGTGATAGTCTCTGGCATAGTATATGAAATGTTTGCAATGAAAGGACTTAGAAAACCAGGCCCCTAAAATCTCAGGAAAAGCTAAGTTTTTCTCTGTTTTTCCTACCCTCCCATATTATTTACAGACTTTTATGTATATGGTTTTGAGTGTATAATGATTGCTTTTGGCAAGTTAGTGGCATATATAATAATATGTTTGAAAGGTGAGGTTGTGAAAAGTATGTATTCCAAATCACAAGCAGATCCCTCATCTGTAGGTGTTCTCCCTTTAGCTGATGTGAACATTAGCCTTGGTTGAGGGGAGAATTCTCATTTAATAGCATGTATTTCAGCTGATATTTAATCAGCTACCCTTCAGATGAGGGAAAATGATAATCTGTGTTTGAAGGTATTCTAATCACTTACTAAAATAAACTTTTAGTTCTATTGATATCTCAGTTAATGGAAACTAATACAGAAAAATCAACTTTAATGCATTATAGTGTAATGCATATTTTAAATGTATTTATCAATGACATTTTCCATTTATTTATTTGTCTTTTAGTGTGTTTGTATGTGTATGTGTAGGTCAGAGGATAGCCTCCAGGAGTTGGTGCTTGCCTTCCACTGTGAGGCTCTCTGGGATTAGACTCAGGTCATTAGGTAGCAAGTGCCTTCATCCATTGAGCTGTATTGTCATCCCTTTTCCAATGTTGTCTTAATGATTTACTTAGTATTGCAAACACTGCTAGCTTTACCTAGTGTTGAAAGGTTTTTTTCAGATTTTTTAGTTTAAATAAGAAACAAACTTGTTTTACATGTCAATCTCAGTTCCCTTCCCCTCCCTTCCTTCCCTGTCACCCACCAACCCCCTATCCAAGCTCCTTTTTGCTCCCCAGGGAGGATGATGCCTTCCATAAGGGATCTTCAAAGTCTGTCATATTATTTGGAGCAGGGCCCAGGACCTCCCCTGTGTGTCTAGGCTGAGAAAGTATCCCTCTATGTGGACTGGGCTTCCAAAGTCCATTCATGTACTAGGGATAAATACTGATCCACTACCAGAGGCCACATGGATTGCCCAGGCCTCCAAACTGACATGCTCGTTCAGGGGGTCTGGAACAATCCTGGTTTCCCAGCTATCTGTCTGGGGTCCATGAGCTCCCCCTTGTTCAGGTCAGCTGTTTCTGTGGGTTTCACCAGAAGGTAATAGAGACATTCCAATGCATTAAAATAGGACCATTTTAAATAGTGGTGAGTTGTGTCCTACAATTTTCATTCAAACTTGCTGATGCAGATATGCATGATCATCTTGAAGTCTCTTTAACACGGGAATAGTCATTGTGCGTAGCACTAAAGGACAGCAAACAGGAGGGAGAATGGAACAGGGAGACTTTAAGAGAGAAGGATCAAGTCTTAACACTTCTTGTGCTCTCATGATTTAATATAGTATTGCTGTGTAAACTTGTTGACATGCTCTATTATATATACTGTTAATATGAAGAGGAGTGATATTAACATGACTTAAAAAATGTTGAAATTTTCTCTTCCCCTCCACCTCTTCCCCCCTTAAAGTGTAAAAAGAACATTTGTGATAGATTTTTGTAATCATATAAAAAAACACCTGCATTAAGACAAATAAATATTCTAGAATTTTATTTAGAACATTCATTACTGAAAGTCAAGGAGTGTATTTGTGTAGTGTTTTGAATAATACATAGAGCACGATGAATGATACTGTAATGAGTTCAAATTTAAACAGTTATTTGTAGTTTGACATCACTTAGTCATTTCTCTGCATATAGAAAGCTTGAAACCAAGTAGCCATTAAAATGGATGGCATTACTCTACTCCTTTTCAGTATTTATTTATGAGAAATTTTCTCATGTATTGGTTGCCAGTTTTAGTTTTGTGTCTTAACCTTTATCAGACTCTGAACTAGAGTGTTTTTTTTGTGGTTGGGTTTCTTGTGTTAGGGTAGCAAATGAATTGAGCAAAAGATTCTATTTCTATGCTATGGTCCATTTTTGGGCATTAGTTGAGCAAATTAACTCCCGTTAGTGGAACAAGACTCACATGCCATAATACCCAGGGGCCTCTTTTTAGGGAAGTGTAAGACTACAGTAGCCCATTGAATACAAAAACTGTTTTTGATTTGAATTCTCTTTGTAGCATCTTCTTGATAATCCAAATTTAAAGAGACTTCCCCATTTTACTGTTATTTACCAAGTTTCTGTGTCATTAACTTGACAATTTTGTATAAGTTTAAAATTTTCTAAATGATTCCAGTTGATTTTTAGTAGAGTGAGTCTATTTAACCATTGGGTTTGAGATTTTAGGAGATCCATCCCCCCTTTTACTCATCCATCTTTTCTTATTTTCTGTTTGCTATGAAGCTGCATAACTTATCTGCACAAACTGTGTCATTAAATACTTCATGTTTTCTTTTTCTTTCCTCCATATGCTTGAAGCAGCCTCATCTCTGTCATTTGTTATGTTCTCTTAGCTCATTCAAAGCCATCATTTGTAGCCCCTTTGTATAATAGCACCCTATTTCGTATTTACATAAAGGGACAAGGAATCCCTCTTTTGATGACATTTTGCTTTGTAGGACAGAAAGGACATTTGTCTATCAGTATGAATCCAGGTAGTTGTGATTTGAGGTACGTATTGATGAAAACCCTAGATAGCAGGTTTTAATATTAGTTCTCCCCTCTATGGTATTTATAACAGGCTTTATGAAAAAAGCCTGTTTAAATAATACCTTGAAAAGTTATTAGTCAGCAGTATTTGTGTTATTTTCTCATCATAGCAAATTATTGCATGGCTAGAGATTGTATTACATGAACATAATACATACACACATGTATATGTGACTATAAAAACAATGATTATTT